GATTAATGATGGATGGAGGGTTCAACAATAGATGGATGGATGGAAGGATTAACAATTGATGGATGGATGATGGATGGATTAACGATGGATGGATGATGGATGGAGGGATTAACAATAGATGGATGATGGATGGAGGGATTAACATTAGATGGATGGATGATGGAAAGAGGGATTAACATTAGATGGATGATGGATGGAGGGATTAACATTAGATGGATGGATGATGGATGGAGGGTTCAACAATAGATGGATGGATGGATGATGGATGGAACTTGGGCTGGGCGATATACCGGTGGACACGATTAACCGGTAGAAATGTTGGACTGTGGTCTCTGTCGGGGTTACACGCTAACGCGATGCTGCTGTGCTACGTGGTCAAGAAAACGTAACATCTGCATGCGTTTTTAAGCATTGCGGTTTAAAAACAAGTGATTTTAAGCCGTTGAAACATGATCAGCAGCGAGAGAGAACTCATTTGGCGATATGTGCGTGTTGTCAGAGAGAGTGTTCCTGAGAGCCGTCAGAGAGACATGCGAGAGAAGACGGAGCTCGTAGAGCACAGGAGTTTTTGCCGCTTTATAGGCCTTGAGCGGTTAAATAGACACAATGTGTCAGAATGTCTGTCTTATGGATGGAGGGTTCAACAATAGATGGATGGATGGAAGGATTAACAATTGATGGATGGATGATGGATGGATTAACGATGGATCATGGATGGATAGAGGGATTAACATTAGATGGATGGATGATGGATGGAGGGATTAATGATGGATGGATAGATGATGGATGGAGGATTCAACAATAGATGGATGGATGGAGGGATTAACAATTGATGGATGGATGATGATCAGCAGCGAGAGAGAACTCATTTGGCGATATGTGCGTGTTGTCAGAGAGAGTGTTCCTGAGAGCCGTCAGAGAGACATGCGAGAGAAGACGGAGCTCGTAGAGCACAGGAGTTTTTGCCGCTTTATAGGCCTTGAGCGGTTAAATAGACACAATGTGTCAGAATGTCTGTCTTTGCAAGTGTAAACACAGTTATTTAGGTCTTAAGTGAAAGCAAACAGCTGAGAAAGAAAACACATTAAAAAACATCTAAGTTTAAACATCTTATTTAATCGCTGACTGTTTACTGGTCTTCAGTGAGCCTGAGGTTGTTTTTTTTAGGCTAGTATTAGCTTTTTTGTGATATTGACACATAATTATGAAATTTCTATGGTATCAAAAGTGTTGATATCATAAAGACCTTATTTAAAGCAAAAATAACTATATCGTGATATATAGTGTTAACGTGAAATGAAATTAATTGTATCGTGACATAAGATTTTGGTCATATCGCCCACCCCTAGATGGAACGATCAACGATGGATGGATGGATGGAACGATTTGGCCCACCGACTGAGCCTGGTTTCTCCCAAGGTTTTTTCTCCATTTCTGTCACCGATGGAGTTTTGGTTCCTTTGTCTTGCTTAGTTGGGGACGCTTGACTGATTGCACAGACACTATTGAAGAGAGCTGAACTGGATGATTACATCACTGAATCATCAATGAACTGACTTTAGCTGAAAAATGGATGATGGATGGATTAAAGATGGATGAATGATGGATGGAGGGATTTATGATGGACGGATAATTAAGGGATTAACATTAGATGGATGGATGATGGAAGGAGGATTTAACAATAGATGGATGATGGATGGAGGGATTAACATTAGATGGATGGATGATGGAAGGAGGATTTAACAATAGATGGATGATGGATGAGGGGATTAACAATAGATGGATGGATGGAGGTATTAACATTAGATGTATGGATGATGGATTGAAGGATTAACAATAGATGTATGGATGGATGGAGGATGGAGGATTTAACAATAGATGGATGATGGATGGAGGGATTAACAATAGATGGATGGATTAATGATGGATGGATTAAAGATGGATGGGGGGATTAACAATAGATGGATGGATGGAGGTATTAACATTAGATGGATGGATGATGGATGGAGGGTTCAACAATAGATGGATGGATGGATGATGGATGGAACTTGGGCTGGGCGATATACCGGTGGACACGATTAACCGGTAGAAATGTTGGACTGTGGTCTCTGTCGGGGTTACACGCTAACGCGATGCTGCTGTGCTACGTGGTCAAGAAAACGTAACATCTGCATGCGTTTTTAAGCATTGCGGTTTAAAAACAAGTGATTTTAAGCCGTTGAAACATGATCAGCAGCGAGAGAGAACTCATTTGGCGATATGTGCGTGTTGTCAGAGAGAGTGTTCCTGAGAGCCGTCAGAGAGACATGCGAGAGAAGACGGAGCTCGTAGAGCACAGGAGTTTTTGCCGCTTTATAGGCCTTGAGCGGTTAAATAGACACAATGTGTCAGAATGTCTGTCTTTGCAAGTGTAAACACAGTTATTTAGGTCTTAAGTGAAAGCAAACAGCTGAGAAAGAAAACACATTAAAAAACATCTAAGTTTAAACATCTTATTTAATCGCTGACTGTTTACTGGTCTTCAGTGAGCCTGAGGTTGTTTTTTTTAGGCTAGTATTAGCTTTTTTGTGATATTGACACGTAATTATGAAATTTCTATGGTATCAAAAGTGTTGATATCATAAAGACCTTATTTAAAGCAAAAATAACTATATCGTGATATATAGTGTTAACGTGAAATGAAATTAATTGTATCGTGACATAAGATTTTGGTCATATCGCCCACCCCTAGATGGAACGATCAACGATGGATGGATGGATGGAACGATTTGGCCCACCGACTGAGCCTGGTTTCTCCCAAGGTTTTTTCTCCATTTCTGTCACCGATGGAGTTTTGGTTCCTTTGTCTTGCTTAGTTGGGGACGCTTGACTGATTGCACAGACACTATTGAAGAGAGCTGAACTGGATGATTACATCACTGAATCATCAATGAACTGACTTTAGCTGAAAAATGGATGATGGATGGATTAAAGATGGATGAATGATGGATGGAGGGATTTATGATGGACGGATAATTAAGGGATTAACATTAGATGGATGGATGAATGATGGATGGAGGGATTTACGATGGATGGATGATGGATGGAGAGATTAATGATGGATGGATGATGGAGGGATTAACGATGGATGGATTAAAGATGGATGGATGGATGATGGAAGGAGGGATTAACGATGGATGGATGGATGATGGATGGATTAAAGATGGATGGATGGATGTTGGATGGAGGGATTTACGATGGATGGATGGATGGATGATGGATGGAACTGGGCTGGCCGATATACCGGTGGACACGATTATTCGGTAGGAATTTGCCAACCGATAAAATTAGTTTGTTATTGTCCTCTTGCATTTTTGACAAACTATTTTCCTGTTTAATACTCTAAAGCTGCTTTGACAGAATCAGTATTGTATAAAGCACTATAGAAATAAAGAACAATAGATGGATGGATGGAGGGATTAACAATTGATGGATGGATGATGGATGATGGATGGAGGGATTAACATTAGATGGATGGATTAATGATGGATGGATTAAATATGGATGGGTGATGAATGGAGGGATTAACAATAGATGGATGGATGATGGATGGAGGGATTAACAATAGATAGATGGATTAATGATGGATGGATTAAAGATGGATGGGGGGATTAACAGGTGCTGTATGACATATGATTAACAGAGGATGGTTGGATGGAAGGATAGATAGATAGATAGATAGATAGATAGATAGATTAGTTTGTTATTGTCCTCTTGCATTTTTGACAAACTATTTTCCTGTTTAATACTCTAAAGCTGCTTTGACAGAATCAGTATTGTATAAAGCACTATAGAAATAAATGTGCTGTATGACATATGATTAACAGAGGATGGTTGGATGGAAGGATAGATAGATAGATAGATAGTTAGATAGTTTCCTCCAGAAGGTCTGAGCTGAGTGTGGCTGCAGATGGATGTCAGTGGAGCGCGGCGGTGGGTTTATGGGTCTCTGCAGGGAAGCAGCGCCGCTCGAGCCCACATTAGATCAGCATCATATAACAGACCGGCACCACACATCTGCACAGCTGGACCAGAGGAGATCCACGACTGATCACAGCCTCCATACTGAAGCTCTGTTCAACAGCATTATCAAAGCCATCCGTTCTGATCCGGCATCAGTCAGCCGTTAGAATCAACGACATTATTATGATTCAATCAAATTATGAGTCTTTATATAACTGTCATGATGAGGTTTATTCAGTCTTACTGCGTCCAGGTCTACTTTTAAACATGTTGAACTTTAATAATAATTAAATGGATCAAGCTGCTAATGACTGTAATTAAACGAGCTGATTTCAGAGGTGTCTATATCCAATGATGAAATACGTAAACTCATTCACAGCATTAAATAAACAAATGTTTTATTATTTAAAAGGATGAAATGTAATTGTCAGTCTACAAAACTCTAGTCTGTCTGTAGACTGGGCGGTCTGGGCTGTTCTGTCTGATAATGAGCTTCATTGATCAGTTTCTGGCCACTTCACATTGATGAAGCCCAGAATGCATCGTTTACTCTGCAAGTGATCCTGCGGGAGTCGATTTCACACACTCATCTGAACTGCAGACACCAGCCAAACACACACACACACACACACACACACACACACACCCAAGCACATGCATACACACACACACACAAACTCTACTACTGTTCACCACTGGTTATTGAACAGAACTGATCTGAATAATGACTTTATTGTCTTCTGTAGAGCTGCTTTACAGCTGAAACAGAGTTTGTTTCATAATTGATGAACCTTGCAACATCAACACTTTTATTTTCCTGTTTATTACAGTGAAACAGTCTGTATTGTATAAAGCGCTATAGAAATACATGCGGCTTGATATGATTGTGAATGTAACTCAGAGATGATCCTGTGGTTTTGTGAGATTCTCAGCAAACAGCTTTAGTGCAGATGATGTGTGATGCAGATGTTCGCACAAACACACACTTTCACACTCACCCTGCCAACTTCCACCAGGTTGGTCACCATGACAATGGTTGCCGTGTTCTCCTGCCACACCATCCTCCAGAAGTCGATGACGGTCTCCTGCATCGGTCCTGCAGAGAGAAAACACACGACCGACTCAAACATAATGACACCTTCATCATCTTCAGCTTCATTGAACAACCTTTGAGGAGTTATTCCATTATGGGACCAATTAATCTGAATTAATGTTGTTTTTAATCAAGTGCTGACTGAAGAAAATTACTTTTGACAAATGATTAAAAGTGTTTTAATGGCTTTATGAGCTCTTAATGTGAGTTCAGACCTGCTCACACACTCTCTCTCTTTCTCTCTCTCACACACACACACACACACTTTTATGTGTCTAAAGCATATAAAGTGAATAAACTCGTCTTCATCAGCTCACTGTTTTACATAAACCATGAGAAATGATAAAAACGTTCATTTGACCCCGTGTTGGGTTCACGCATGCTCATATCAGCGGCTCATCGGTCTTCGGTCCGAGTCGAACTGTTTCCCCAGCGCTGAATGATTCATTCATCACAGGATCTGATTCGCCGCTGTTTCGGCTCATTTGGAGTCACAGTGACTGTCAGGCGTCTGAAAGTGAGTTCTGATTCAGTAACTTGTAGATCTGTGCTGCTCGAGCTGCGAACTGATTCAGACGATTCAGTCCGATTCAATGAACTGATTCAACTAGTTCACTAAAAAGAATCAGGTCAAAAGAATGATTCGTTCGTGAACCGAACATCACTCCGGACCGTTTTTTCCTGAGGCTCTAGATTACAGGTAATAATGCTGTAAATAATGTTCAGTTTCTTGCACAGACTGATCGTTTCTCTTCATAAGACCCTGATATATCATCAGGAGCCACAGGTATTCATTCTGTGTTGCCTGTCGATGTGTTTTTGACTCTCAAAGTGACGGTAGCCATTGACTTGCATTTTATGATTCACAGAGAACCACGCTTTCAGCTAAAAATCTTCTTTACTGATCTACTGAAGAAAATGAAGTCATCTTGGATGGCCTGAGGATGAGTAAATTACCAGCACATTTTCATTTAAGGGTGAACTGTCCCTTTATATCACAAACACACACAGAACTTTAATGCTACTTTGTCAAGAATGTTAAAATCTCTGCTTCGTGTAACCCAAATATGAAGACAAGAGCAGACTTTTCAGAAACTCTATGACAGTATAAGATACGACAGTATGTTGATGTTCAGCTGAACTAGTTCACATTCAGGCTGTAAGAGCATCTCCATGTTCGTCAGTCGTGAGGTTTGAAGCGCGCCTCGATGGCTCGAATGTCTTCTCTCGCTCCCACTCGGCCGGCCCACGAGTCTCAGGGGACGCTGGGATGATGGGAGGCGAGCAGGACACCTGCTGAGTGGGTTTGTAACGTCACACCGCAGCCTGTCAGACACACACTCTCATCTCCAACAGTTACCGTCTGCACAAACACACACGCGTGCCAGTCTAGCAGAGGTGTTTCCAGAAACTGCAGCGTCTGCGTGACATCTGAAGACATGCGGCTGCTTCACACGAGCAAATGATCTGCAACAGAACCTGCTCAAGCTCCTTCACCATCAGAACCAGCAGCAGATTCACTGATTCCTTACAGACTCTGCTCTACAGCGCCACCTACTGATCACCACATATCAAACAGTGCTATTCTTGCTTTGAATATTTGGTCTCTTTTGATTGATTGGATCATACAGAACAAAATGATATTCCTCAAAATGAGCTCAAGCAAAACTGACAACATTATAGGGTTTTATCATTAACTAAAACTATAAAAACATCTTCTTACTTGAAACAAAATACACATTTACTGAAATAAAAATATAAAAAACTTAAACTTATATTATCGTTAGCTAGAAAAAAACTACAATATAAAAAAATTACTTCTCGAAACTAATACACATATTATTATTCATAAAAATATAATTCTTATTTGTTGTACATTTTACAAGAAAATTATTTTATTTTTTCTACTTAAAAATTCAGCATAACTTGCCATTTCCTTGTAATTATTTATGAAATTTATTAGAAATGTTCTAGTAAATGTATTTTTTTTTCAGTGTAAAAAATTTAAATGAACAAAAGCTATTTAATTTTTTTTTAAACTAATAAAAATGACAAAACACAACAAAATGACTAAAACTGTAACAAAATTTTAAGTGAAAACAGGAAATATAAAAATGAAATCAAATTCAAATTATTACCAAAATCTAATTATGAAAAAAAACTTTAATTTAATATTATTATATATATCTTTTTTTTAATGTTTTCCCCCCCCCCAATTTTTATATATCAAGCAGGACATTAATTTATGTATATTAATTTATATTAGAAATGTTCTAGTAAATGTTTTTTTTTTTCAGTGTAAAAAATTTAAATGAACAAAAGCTATTTAATTTTTTTTTTAAACTAATAAAAATGACAAAACACAACAAAATGACTAAAACTGTAACAAAATTTTAAGTGAAAACAGGAAATATAAAAATGAAATCAAATTCAAATTATTACCAAAATCTAATTATGAAAAAAAACTTTAATTTAATATTATTATATATATCTTTTTTTTAATGTTTTCCCCCCCCCCAATTTTTATATATCAAGCAGGACATTAATTTATGTATATTAATTTAACACTTTAATCAATTTAAGTATTATGTATTACAAGTATTATGTAAGTATTACGTAAATAAAAATTACAGCATGATTTTTAAATAACTTTTTTGTTAAACTACCAATGACTAAAACCTTAAACCTCAATATAAGTAATTTTAATCATTACCAGTAGTAATTATATTTGTCCCGACACCAGAACACTGTTTATTTAAACCAAAACATTACAGATTTCATAACCCTCAATAATCACCACAAACTGAATGACTAAATTCAGTTAACTTTACACATATGCATTACCTCACACAAAGCCATATATACTAATACTAATTGTTTTTATCATCTTCAAATGTAAATGATCCTGTAATCCAGCTCTAACCTGATAAATGTGAGGAATTCATTATTTCTTATTAGTATTCATTTCTGTGCAACAACGTGCATTGTGAAACATGCTATGCAAAATAAATACATAAATTAATTAAAAACGAATAATAAAATAGAGGACGTGGACATCATGAAACTCTGGAGAAAAGATGTAAATTACAGCTAAATCTGTTAAAATCATAACCCTACTTTGCTTTGATTATTTCAATCATCTTTTAGGAAACATGCATGAACGTACAGTACACAGAAAAAGAAAAGCTAAAATAAGACCTGATATTATCGGGTCTTAATATTGGCCAAATCAGACTGATGCCAATAACAAAAAGCACTAATATGAAGCACTAACAGCAGGGAGCTTCTCTCGCTCCAATCAAGAGGCTTTCACACGCAAAAGCACCGCAAACGCTTGATGACGCGCACCTGGTGCTTCATTCCCAGAATATCTTCAACTGCACATTACCAGGAAAACAAATGTGCTACTGAACTTATTGGAGAAGTTTCAGCAAAAAAAAGAGAGTAAAACACAAGAGGAAACTTTATGCTGAAGTCTGAAGATTCTGCCAAAAAGGGGGAAAATTGCACACACATCCCGTATCACAAACTTCAGCTGTCAAGAGCTGCTGAACTAAAACTAGTCACTAACCATCAAATTAGAGCAATAAAACCAGAGGAAACTGCTGCTCAACCTGCTGAGACTGTCAGTGTGTTATGTGGTTGCTAAGGTGCTCTGACTGGTTGCTAGGGTTGTGTATCAGACGTTTGATTTGAGGAATCGTTCACGACTGGAGCACAAGCACTGCACTAATGCTCAGGACTAGAGGTTTATCACTATCACTATCAGCACTAGTACTAGTGAGGAAATATATCTAAATTACGACCTATTCTCTCAATGTCAAATGCAGAAATGTTAATCCATGCGTTTATGACCTCAAGGTTAGATTATTGTAATGCTTTATTGGGTGGTTGTTCTGCACGCTTAATAAACAAACTCCAGCTGGTCCAAAATACAGCAGCTAGAGTTCTTACTAGAACCAAGAAGTATGACCATATTAGCTCGGTTCTGTCAACACTGCACTGGCTACCTATTAAACACCGTATAGATTTTAAAATCTTGCTAATTACTTATAAAACCCTGAATGGTTTAGCACCTCAGTATTTGAACGAGCTCTTGTTACATTATAGTCCTCCACGTCCACTGCGTTCTCAAAACTCTGGCCATTTGATAATACCTAGAATATCAAAATCAACTACGGGCGGAAGATCCTTTTCCTATTTAGCGCCCAAACTCTGGAATAACCTACCTAACATTGTTCGGGAGGCAGACACACTCTGTCAGTTTAAATCTAGATTAAAGACCCATCTCTTCAACCTGGCTTACACATAACACACTAATACGCTTCTAATATTCAAATCCGTTAAAGGATTTTTAGGCTGCATTAATTAGGTCAACCGCAACCGGGAACACTTCCCATAACACCCGATGTACTTGCTACATCGTTAGAAGAATGGCATCTACGCTAATATTAGTCTGTTTCTCTCTTATTCCGAGGTCACCGCTGCCACCAGATCCAGTCTGTATCCAGATCAGATGGTCACTGCAGTCACCCGGATCCAGTACATATTCAGACCAGATGGTGGATCAGCACCTAGAAAGGACCTCTACAGCCCTGAAAGACAGCGGAGACCAGGACAACTAGATGAGCCCCAGATACAGATCCCCAGTAAAGACCTTGTCTCAGACGGCCACCGGGACAAGACCACAGGAACCAGATGATTCCTCTGCACAATGTGACTTTGCTAGCCTGAAATTGAACTGCTGGTTTTGTCTGGCCAGAGGAGAACTGGCCCCCCGACTGAGCCTGGTTTCTCCCAAGGTTTTTTCTCCATTCTGTCACCGATGGAGTTTTGGTTCCTTGCCGCTGTCGCCTCTGGCTTGCTTAGTTGGGGACACTTCATTTCCAGCGATATCGTTGACTTGATTGCAAATGATTGCAAAGATACTATTTAAACTGAACTGAGCTGGATGATGACATCACTGAATTCAATGATGAACTGCCTTTAACTGAAAAATGAGTGTTTACTATTGTCATTTTGCATTATTGACACACTATTTTCCTAATTAATGCTAATGTCAGCGGAGATCAGGACAACTAGATGAGCCCCAGATACAGATCCCCTGTAATGACCTTGTCTCAGACGACCACCGGGACAAGACCACAGGAACCAGATGATTCCTCGGCACATTGTGCCTTTGCTAGCCTGAAATTGAACTGCTGGTTTTGTCTGGTCAGAGGAGCACTGGCCCCCGACTGAGCCTGGTTTCTCCCAAGTTTTTTTCTCCATTCTGTCACCGATGGAGTTTTGGTTCCTTGCCGCTGTCGCCTCTGGCTTGCTTAGTTGGGGACACTTCATTTCCAGCGATATCGTTGACTTGATTGCAAAGATACTATTTAAACTGAACTGATGATGACATCACTGAATTCAATGATGAACTGCCTTTAACTGAAAAATTAGTGTTTACTATTGTCATTTTGCATTATTGACACACTATTTTCCTAATTAATGCTGTTCAGTTGCTTTGACACAATCTGTATTGTTAAAAGCGCTATATAAATAAAGGCGACTTGACTTGACTTGAGGACTGACGAACCAGCACTAATGAACGAGGGAGAGTTACTGATGATTTACTGGATTTTGCTGGTTTTCCTACACTGATCTAATAACTGTGAGCTCAAGCTGCTGCGGAGAGTCCAGAGCTGCACTTACTGCCAGAGAGAGTGTGTGTGTGTGTGTGTGTGTGTGAGTGTGTGTGTGTGAGAGAGAGAGTGTGTGTCTGTGTGTGTCTGTGTGTGTGTGTGTGTGAGAGAGAGTGTGTGAGTGTGAGTGTGTGTGTGTGTGTGAGAGTGTGTGTCTGTGTGTGTGTGTGTGTGTCAACTGGACTGACAGCTGCAGCTCCAAACCTCAGCAGAGAACACACACACACACACACATGACAAATCTCATTAAGGTGTGAGCTCACCCAAAAAATTTAATTCTGTTCATTTATTCGCCACTTTAAAGACACTTCTAAGAAACCTTTATACTGTTTTTTGTTCTTTGTTGAGTTTGACGGCTGCTGATCTTTGTACATTTATTTTAGTCTCTGTTTGAGTGTGTGTGTGTGTGTGTGAGAGAGAGAGTGTGTGTCTGTGTGTGTGTGTGTGTGAGAGAGAGTGTGTGTCTGTGTGTGTCTGTGTGTGTGTGTGTGTGAGAGAGAGAGAGAAAGAGAGAGAGTGTGTGTGTGTGTGTGTCTGAGAGAGAGAGTGTGTGTGTGTGTGTGTCTGAGAGAGAGAGTGTGTGTGTGTGTGTGTCTGAGAGAGAGAGTGTGTGTGTGTGTGTGTCTGAGAGAGAGAGTGTGTGTGTGTGTGTGTCTGAGAGAGAGAGTGTGTGTGTGTGTGTGTCTGAGAGAGAGAGTGTGTGTGTGTGTGTGTCTGAGAGAGAGAGTGTGTGTGTGTGTGTGTGAGAGAGAGAGTGTGTGAGTGTGTGTGTGTGAGAGAGAGAGTGTGTGTCTGTGTGTGTCTGTGTGTGTGTGTGTGTGAGAGAGAGTGTGTGAGTGTGTGAGAGAGTGTGTGTGTGTGTGAGAGAGTGTGTGTGTGTGTGTGTCTGAGAGAGAGTGTGTGTGTGTATGTGTGTGCATACATTAAAATCTGCTAAGGGGTAATAACTGAATAACAGAATTAAAAAGTGATGTTTCACTATTATTTATGACAGGATCTGCATTTTCATGGGATTAAATAAAAGATTTTTGTAATGAGATGCAATAAAAACAACTTTGTGCATCAAAACCACTCCTTTCAGGCTGAAAAACTTGATTTTCAAAAGTCAACAAATTTGCTACAGCTGAACGTATTATCTTTGACAAGCCAAGCATGTCAGTCTTTGAGTAACACGGAATAAAACATCTCCAGCATGTTTTATAAATACCCAAATTAAAACACAGATTACCACTTACGCATGTTATCACGTCCGTCAAGAACTGAAAATATTGATAAAACACTCTCATGGGCATCAGTCGCTTCACTGAACACTTGCCGCTGACTAAGAAATAAATAATTATTACTTTACGATCCATCTGTTTTCAAATCCACATAATTTGAATATCACAGCATTGATGTCTGTCAAACAATAACGTGCACGATACACAGTTATATTTATGAGAAACCTCACACTACCGGATGTTTGGACTAAGTCATCGCTTTCCGAAAAGAAGGAGAAAATGATGGCCTGAGTGGCTTTAACATGCTGTCTGTCAAAGACAATAACATGCATAATACATAACACACACGCAGTGCTGGGTAGATTACTGAGTAACTGCAGACCAAATTACATGAGAAAAATTGTAGTTAGTAACCTAATCCATTACATTACACACTTTGATTACTTTTAGATGACTTCTGACCTAACTCGTTTATCATATTGATTTAAATTGCATAATTTTGTACCATACTGATATAAAAATACAAAGAGAAAGAATGTTGCATTAAAGTGCATTAAACAAAACATTACATCAACATTTCCCAAACTGGGCTTTGTGAAGAAACTGCAGGGATTTGTGAGTTTAATAATAAAAAAAAAAAGCTAATAATTACAACAATCAAAAATAAGACACTTACTAAAAAAGTAGTATTTTATTTGTTTACCTGCATGTCATGTGACCATTAACCAACCTCAGAGAACCATGAGCATGCAAATTTGTTACTTATAATTATTAACTTAAATTGAACCAATTAACCCTAGAATCTCAGGGGTTCTTCAAATAAATATATTAGGTGAAAGAGGTTCGGCTGACAAAAAAAAAAAAGTTTGGGAATCCCTGCATTACATATAAATCAGAAATAACATGCATTTTAATGCATTTGAAAGACAAAATCCTTCCAAAGACACAGTAATACATGGATAAATAACCCACTGAGTGATAATTAAAAATAAAAATGAACATCAGTAGTCGATGCCATGTTGAAATGCTGAGAAAACACCTCTTAAAAATGAAATGATTTGAAATGTGTGGTGTCTCCATTTTCTGTGTAATTAGTCACCGTACTACACTTTCTGAATGCATATAAGCAGCAGGCTATTTTGGAAAGGAAAAATTAAAAAGATGAACAACAAGAAGTAGGGAGAATCAATAAATTATGAATAATTAATTGCTACTGTGTGAATTATGTTTAATCATGTAATAAAAAAGTAACTGTAGTCTGATTAAAATGTAATGTAATCCAGATTACATGTAATCAGTTTCTACCCAGCTGTGCGCAAGCGAGTATAGATATGTGAGCCTGCAGCACAAAAGCAGTGTTAAGTCGCTGGGGTATATTTGTAGCAATAGCCAACAATACATTGTATGGGTCAAAATTATACATTTTTCTTTAATGCCAAAAATCATTAGGATATTAAGTAAAGATCATGTTCCATGAAGATATTTTGTAAACTTCCTACCGTAAATATATCAAAACTTAATTTTTGATTAGTAATATGCATTGCTAAGAACTTCATTTGAACAACTTTAAAGATGATTTTCTCAATATTTAGATTTTTTTGCACCCTCAGATTCCAGATTTTCAAATAGTTGTATCTCAGCCAAATATTGTCCTATCCTAACAAACCATACATCAATGAAAAGCTATTTATTCAGCTTTCAGCTGATGCATACATCTCAGTTTCACAAAACTGACCCTTATGACTGGTTTCGTGCTCCAGGCTCACATTTGTTCTTCACTCACTGAAATTGAATCCGAATGATCAGAGAACCGAGTGAAATACGTCACACAGCAGAATAAATGCTAATACAGTAAAAAAAAAAAAAACCTTTGCTGTGTTAGTGAACATCGTTCAGCATGTGTTGGTTTTGACGGACATTTTTAATGCACGAACTACGCATTCTGTTGCTGATTTTTCAATAATTTGACAGATGTTTCGATTAATATTTTCAGTATTAGTTCAAGTTTAACAGAAGGCTGTTTTTCGGCTGAACTATTCCATTAGTTGAGTCTCTCTCCTGCAGCAGAAGAGGAAGCTTTTCTTCTCATTGGGTAAAGCGATGGTCTTTTATCCGGTCAGATCTCTCGACAGTGACAGTGTTCATGCATTATTCTCTTACAAGCGCACAGAGGTAAAAATCTCCCATCAGCCCTGGGTTTCTCCCGGTACGTCTCACACCTCGACCCCAGGGCTGCGTCTCAGGACCGCTTCTGTTCCCACGCTTCACTCCTGTCTGTCTGTCTCTCATGTCAAGCTCAGAATGAAGATGATGAATTATGTATCGCTGCAGCTCTCAGAGAATCCTGATGCTGAAGCCCAGCTCATAAACCCATCCTGAAGTCCTTTATGAAATCAGTCTGACGCCCTGCATTCGTTAAAGCTGTTACTGCCTCACATTTAAAGATGCAACACGTTTAATGATGGAGTGACAGAGAGAGGGAACGCCTCAGGCAGCACAGATGAAACCTCAGGCGCTGAAGAACCTGAGAGCCACTGAGACATCTATCTGAAGCTGCAAAAATATTTATATAAATTGCACATCTGAATAGATAATGTCCACATATTATATATGACTATATAAGCAACTTAATTTAATTATATAAATGTAAATAATGAACAGTTTTCAAAGAAACGACTACTTTTATTAATCAAGGCTGCATTAAACTGATAAAAAAGTGACAGTAAAGACATTTATAATGTTACAAAAGATTTCTGTTTCAAATAAATGCTGTTCTTTTGAACTTTCTATTCATCTGTGAATCCTGAAAAATAAAATGCATCACGGTTTCCACAAAAATATTAATGTTTTCAACATTGATAATAATCAGAAATGTTTCTCGAGCAGCAAATCAGCATATTAGAATGATTTCTGAAGATCATGTGACACTGAAGACTGGAGTAATGATGCTGAAAATACAGCTTTGATCACAGAAATACATTACAGTTTAACAGTTATTCAC